AGAAAAAACGAGATTTTCTTGACACAAAAATTGGTCCAATGTTATTTTCAGGGGACTGCGAAATTCTTTCAAATTACTTGAAAAACAAGACACATGGATCCCTCGAGATTTTTTCTAATTACATACTTCAAAAAGAAGACAAGTGTTCTCTGAAATTGTTTCAAATTACTTCAAAACCAAAACGAAAGGAGTCGAGGTTGTTTCAGACTACTTCAAGAACAAAACCAAAGGGGTCCTCCAGATTTTTTCAAAATACTTACAAAATACACATTAAAAAAACACAAGGAAACCCAAATTACTTCAAAGACAAGACAATGGATTCCCAACAATCTTTCAAACTACTTCAAATATGAAACAAAAATAATCCCCGAGAACCTCTACTACTGCAAAACCAGGCAAAAGATGTCCCCGAGATTCTCTAAAACTACTTCAAAAATAAAACAAAAAGGGTTCCCAAGATTCTTTCAAAATACTTTCAAAATTTCAAACTACTTCAAAACCAAGTCGTAAGTGGTCCAGGAATTTTTTTCAATTTGCCTTAAAAACAATACATACACAGAAAGATCCCCGACATTCTTTCAAACTACCTCAGAAACAAAACATAAAGGACTCCACAAATTCTTTCAAACTACTTCAAAAACCAGACACAAGTAGTTCTCTTGATTATTTCAAACTACTGCAAAACCAAGCAATGGTGTCCCGAAGATTCAAGCGAAAGGGGTCCCCGAGATTCTTTCCACCTACTTCAAAAACCAGACAAAAGTGTTCCTCGAGATTCTTTCAAACCACTTCAAAAACAAAACACAAGTGATCCCCGAGATTCTTACAAAGTACTTTCAAAATCCAGACACAAGGGGTATGCGAGATTCTTTCAAACTACTTCAAAAACAAGACGTAAGTGGTTCAGGACATTTTTTCAAATTGCCTCAAAAATAATAAACAGAAAGATCCCCGATATTCCTTCCCACTACTTCAAAAAAAAAAAAAAACAAAACAAAAGGGTCTCCAACATTCTTTCAAATTACTTCAAAAACAAGACATATGTGATCCCAGAGATTCTTTCAAAGTGCTTAAAAACAATCAATACACACAGAGATTCCCGAAACTACACCAAAAACGAAACAAAGGGTTCCCCGAGATTCTTTCAAACTACTTCAAAAACCAGGCACAAGTAGTCCTCGAGATTCTTTCAAACTACTTTTAAAACCAGATACAAATTTCCCCAACATTCTTTCAAACTACTTCAAAAACCAGACACAAGGGATCCTCGAGATTCTTTCTAACTACTTTAAAAACACAACACAAGTGGCCCCCAAAATTCTTACAAAATACTTTCAAAACCCCGACACAAGGAGTATGCGAGATTCTTTAAAATACTTCAAAAACCAAACATAGGAGGTCCCCGAGATTCTTTCAAACTACTTCAAAAACAAGAAGTAAGTGATCGAGAAGATTTTTTTCAAGTTGCCTTAAAAGCGATATACAGAAAGATCTCAGACGTTCTTTCAAACTACTTCAAAAACAAAACACAAGGGGTGTCCAACATTTTTTCAAATTACTTCAAAAACAAGACAATTGTGGGCCCAGAGAATATTTCAAATTGCTTAAAAACAATACACAGGGAGATCTTCGACATTCTTTCAAACTAGGTACTTCAAAAACAAAACACAAGGGATTCCAGAGATTCTTTCAAAATACTTCAAAATCAAAGCAAGAGGTACCCCGAGATTCTTTTAAACTACTTCAAAAACCAGACACAAGTAGTCCTCGAGATTCTTTCCAACTACTTCAAAAACCAGATCCATTATAATTAAATAAATAAATATAAATAAATAAAGAAATATATTATTAATATCCAACAGACCTTAGTGTCTAACAGGATTAATGTAAGAGTTATATAAATACAAAATATCAATATAGAAGACATATATAAATATAAAGAAGAATTAGCAAATAGTAACACATAAAACTACAAACTAACAACCAATGACGCTTTTACATTGTGAACAAAATTTTTTAATATCGTACGTAAATACAAGGGGTTCCCGGGATTCTCTCAAACTACTTCAAAAACAAAACACTTGTGGTCTACAAGTTTTTTTCAAATTACTTAAAACACACGAAATCCTGGTCCCGGAGATCTTTTCACATTGCTTTAAAAATAATACAAAGAAAGATTCTCTCAAACTACTTCAAAAACCAGACACAAGTAGTCTCGGACATTCTTTCAAACTGCTTCAAACCCAGACACAAGTGGTGGCCGAGATTCTTTCAAACTACTTCAAAAACCAGATACAAGTGGTTCCTGAGGTTCTCTCAAGCTTCTTAAGAAACAAAACACTTATGGTCTACGAGATTCTTTCAAATTACTTCAAAAACACATCAAAAGTGGGCCCCGAGAATCTTCAAACTACTTTAAAAACAGGATACAAGTGTTCCCCAAGATTCTTTCAAATTACTTCAAACACCAGACACAAAACAGACACAAAAAATCTCAGGGGTCCCTGAGATTTTTTCAAAATACTGCAAAATCGAACCAAAGGTGGTCACCGAGATTCTTTCCACCTGCTTCAAAAACCAGACAGAAGTAGTCATCGAGATTCTTTCAAACTACTTCAAAAACCAGACATAGGTGGTCCAAGAGATTTTTTTCAAATTGCCTTAAAACAATACACAGAAAGATCCCAGATATTCTTTCATGCAACTTCAAAAACAAAGCACAGGGGGTCTTCAACATTCTTTCAAATTAGGTACTTCAAAAACAAAACACTAGTGGTCTACGAGATTCTTTCAAACTTCTTCGAATACAAACACAAGAAATTCCCGAGATTCTTTCAAATTACGTCAAGCTAGACAGAAGGGATCTCCGAAATGTTTCCAATTACTTACTTCAAAAACAAGACAGGAGATCCCCAACATTCTTTTAAGCTAATTACTTCAAAAACACATTTAAAGTGGTCCCCGACATTCTTCAAACTATATAAGTGTTCCCCTAAATTCTTCCAAACTACTTCAAAAACAAATCAAAAGTGTTTCCCGAGATACTTCAAACTACTTTAAAAACAATATACAAGTGTTCCCCAAGATTCTTTCAAATTACTTCAAAATCAAAGCAAAGGTTGTCACCGAGATTCTTTCCACCTGCTTCAAAAACTAGACAGAAGTGGTCATCGAGATTCTTTCAAACTACTTCAAAAACAAGACGTAAGTGGTCCAGGAGATTTTTTCAAATTGCTTTAAAAACAATACACAGAAAGATCCCGGATATTCTTTCATACAGCTTCAAAAACAAAGCACGGGGAGTCTTCAACATTCTTTCAAATTACTTCAAAAACAAGACATTTGTAGCCCCAGAGAGTTTTTCAAATTGCTTAAAAACAATACACGGAAAGATTCCTGACATTCTTTCAAACTACTTCAAAAACAAAACACAATGGATTCCCGAGATTCTTTCAAAATACTTCAAAATCAAAGCAAAGGCAACTCCGAAATTCTTGCGAACTACTCCAAAAACCAGACAAAGGTGGTCCCCGAGATTCTTTGAAACTACTTCAAAACCCAGACGCAAGTGGTGTCCGAGATTCTTTCAAACTACCTACTTCAAGTATAAACACAAGAAATTCCCGAGATTCTTTCAAATTACGTCAAGGCAGAGACACAAGGTATCTCCGAAATTCTTTCCAATTACTTCAAAAACACATCAAAAGTGGTCCCCGAGATCCTTCAAACCTTCAAATTGCTTTAAAAAAATACACGGAAAGATTCAAAATCAAAGCACAACATTCTTTCAAATTATTTAAAAAATAAGACACTTGTGTTATAAATAACATACTCTTTTTATGTTATGTACGCCAACTAATATCATATTCCATAGGGTGTGGATATGTGGCACTAAAGTTTTCCGGAATTTTCATTTTCTTTCCAACTTACATTTTATATTCAGAGTATTATTTTTGATTTTGGAAAATTTTAGTTCGTCTATAATACTCTCTATACCTTAAAAAATATAGATAATGCCAGTCACACTGTAAAACAAAAAAAAGGACTCATGAGGAAATCGAACGGGCGACCTCCGGGTACTTTACGTTATTAACTCAAGGCGGATTCATAAACTACAAGTACAGGAGGAGTATAGTATAGTATAACACAGACATAAAACAATCGCTCCGCAAACGCCAGAGAAACGGACACGGAAGACTTATTTTTTTGTACTGTAAAGGCCACGAAACGTCATTAGGGTGTCATTAAAAAAATAGTCGACTGTTGTAAATAAAAACAAATGAAAAATTATTATAATAAAGTATTAAAATGACTTAAAACGACGTAACACATAATGCTGTACTCGGAGTAAGTATATCGTGTAGTACACATGATACAAATATTTAACGTGCTTTGATTCTCTTGGAAAATACATAAATAAACATTTCTTTGTTTTTTAATGAGAGGCAGACACGTAATGAACACATTACCCAATCAATGCTACACGAAGTACTTAAACATTAACGCACCAATCGCTTTCCTGCTGGAACTAAACTGAAATTTGAAAACACTGCAGAAAATTGAATTTTCCATACTTTTTAGCGCCACTGTATATGTTTTAATTTACGTTACGAAAAATGGAAACAGCTGTTCCGCAGATTAGAACGCACACCAAGGAACCAAATTTGGCCATTCACCGACTCCATGCCGTAACAATCCGCTTCTTTCGCCCTCCCTTGCGCCTACCTGCCACCCAACCCAGCCCGTTCCTGCTGCGCTGCAGGAACGCGCCAACAAAAACCCCGTTCTCTTGACCCTCTCGCGTCGTTTTTGTCCGTCCCGTGCACGAGCAACAAGTCAATCGCGTCCGAAAACTCGCAAAAGGGCATCGCGCCGCCATCGCCGCCGCCGTCCCTGGAAAAGCGAAAAAAGCGCGCCTTTCCAGCGCAGCTCGCGAATATTCTCGAGTACGCGGTACCGGCGCGAGTGCGCAGCCGCCCAGGTTCGGTCGTATCGCGAGTTGTCCGTTCTTCGGTGCTCTTCCCAGTGCGGCGTGTGGTAGCGAAACGTGTGGTAGGCCACGGTGAAGTCATCAGCTACAATCTTGCATTCTCATCAAGCGTGAAATTGTGCAGTGCCGTCCGCAACCTACATTCCTGCAGTGCCGACCGCCGGTGACCAGTTCAGTTATTGTGAGCATGGGCACAGAATTCAAGGATGTCGACGTGAACATGGAAGACTCCGGCAACAGCTGCGGAAGCAGCGTCGTCTCGGACTACAGCGGACCGTCGGACCACACCGACTTCGACGGAGATGGCGTCCAGGTCTCCGACCTGGAGGGCGACGCCGACGAGCTGCGGCTCCCACAGGTTCGTACGGGACTTTTTGCGCTTTGCACCAGGAGGCCGTCTTCACGTGCGGAGGCTTTCACGTGAGCGGGACGCGAACGCTGCGGTGCGGACGAGTCGAATTTCGTGTCATTGTGTCAAGGATCGGAAACGACACGAAATCCTGCTATCGGGGAAATTTTCGCGGGGCGATCAATCATCTCGGGCTTGAATTGTTCCAGACGGGTTAGGGTTTTCTGGGACGTTGCAGGAATTGTCCGTTACAACCTTTGCGTTCCACTTGCACTTTCATCATTAATTTTATACGTGACGAACACTTGGTGGGCCAAAATTTCGACACAACATCCATGTAAGTCCAAAAAATTCCAAAACCACTCAAGTCGCGTTTTGGGGACCCATTTTTTCAACCAATTTATCTTAAACAAAGATGTGAAAATACGGAAAGAAAAACTTCAACACACTTTTTATAGCCCATATTTATCATCTAATTTTGCTTTGCTTGGAAATTCCCCACGACAAGCATTTACACGCACCTTAAAATAATCAACAAGTGGCAAATTTGTTTGAAACAAAGGACTGTCTGTGCCTTTGAAAATGGGAAATGGTGGCAAAACCCCTTCACACCCCTTTGTCTTCCACAATCTTGTAATTTATTCATAACTAAAGCATACACACCAAGATGACTTCTAATTTCGTAAATTCAAATTTTTGACCAGCAGGACTTGGATCAAAATAATCAACAAATTTACTCAAAAACGGTCTTGAACCTTAATCTTCCAAATCAAAATTTTTGACCACCCGACTTCCATCTACTTTGGCATTTTTCTATCGATACCAGGAACTGAAGAGTGAAAATATCACCAGCCGGAATTGTCACACGCTTTCAGTTAACAATATTTCATGCATTCCAAGCATGCACCTCAGGAACTGAGCGATGATTGATTATTAGCACGCAGTCGTTGCAGTCCAGAACCAACAAAGTGAAAATAAATTTGAATCGTCTTCGAATTTCCAGTTTGTTTATTGTTACCAGGAGTTTATTTACGCTAAACCAAAAATAATACGTAAACAGGATGCGGTTTCCTAATAAAATCAGGTCGGAAATGGTCAAAAATAAGTTAGTTGCTGTTTTTGAGTATTTGTTTGATTTTTGGACAACAATAGGGGACACTCGAGTGAATTGGTTCATTTTTGAGTGGATAGCTATGAAGTGCTTGGAGTTATCTGAAGTTTGAAAAATTAAAAATAACAAGTGGAAAAGTTCAGTGTTTTTAGACACAGTTGAGCACCATTTATTTACTACTTGTCATTATTTTATGTCAACTGCTAAGGATAATTTGATAACGTAATCAAAAATGTTGATACGGATTATCAAAGTTACAACTCAATTATTACTTATTCAATTGTAAAATACAAAGTGTGAAATTACTGGTAACAATTTTTGACCGATCTTCTAACCTAACCTAGTACCTAGTATGATTAATTTCATTTTTCGCAGGGATCTCTGCGTATATACGAAATTGGTTGCCAACCATATCACCATATTTAAATGGTCTACAGTTGTCTACGGGTTTAAAACCCATAATTTTATGATAGTAACGCACCAAAGGTGATATTACACAAATAACCATACTCGTACTATTTTTTATCATTAGTCCATATTTTTCGCGGTTATTTTCGTTTTTATCAATACTTATAGAACACAATAAAAAAATCATGCCATGTTTAATTACACCTCGTTTATTTTCATAAGATGCGTTTCGCTAGTTGAAAACGCTCGAGTTTTTGCCATTTCATTACATTGATACAATCGGTGTCAAAAGAGTAGATTCTATTGATAGGCGGTCAAGATATTTTGATATATCAATTCTTGAAAGACATACCCATGCGATTCGTAGTGATAGCAAACAGGTGATGTACGATTTAAATCTTTCACTTATCTTATAATCTCTTATGATTGCTTTATTTTTGGCCAAGAACGCAGAACACAACATAAACAAATATGCGCATCGTCCCGACTCGAATTTTTTGTCGAGCTGCTGGTGTCAAATATGCGCAGATAATTCCAATGATGAATCATTTTTATCTTCTGTTCTCGTGGACATTGCTGCAGATAACACATCGACAAACAAATTTTTATTAGTCGGTATTTGGAAGATCTAGCTAAAAAATGAGGACAGATGTTTTTCGATGCAGATCAACTCAATAGCGACTGATTGCATTTATGAGTTGACCTACATTTATTATTTCCGACAAGTCATGGTTTTTGGTCAATTGATTCACACAATGGCGCCCAAGAAAACGCATAACATAGGTGATAGGTGATTATTATTATTATTACGTTAGATCAATGGAGACTACACCCACAGTTTTACAAACAACAACGGTATTTTTACTCATAGAGCGTCACCTTGTTTGTATTAATATATTTATAGATGAATATCCACAAACCCGTTTGCGTTTAGACATGAAGCACGTTGAAACCCGTGCCCTGTATATCCGATTCGCGCTCAAAAAAATTCAAATTTGATTACGTCCTGATGAATATTCAACGAAAACTTACTCAGGACGCGATTTTCATCGTTTAATTCGCACTACGCTTTCCCAACTTCCTGAAAATTTTCATCGACGTCGCGGCGCCATCAATCATTCGTTCGTTCATTCTAGTGGTATTGTTGTCACTTCGGGTCCCGCGATCACGTAGATTACAAGTCCAAATTTTCGTTTACGGTTGCAGGAACTAGAGTTCAGCAGGAATTCGCTACCGATGCAAATGAAGCGCATTTTTACAAGTAATCATTGCTTAGTAAATAATGCTGTGTTTGTTCGCCTTTTCAATCAGGCTTAGGGGTGTTTTTGGTGAAGAAAGCAAGCGTACGTTGGGGGTTGTTTCTGAACAAAAATATAATCCGGAGTAATTGTTTCGTTCCACGACAGACAAATCAATTCGGTGAGGGAACGAAGGCTGTTTTTGGCGAGGTGTTGAATTGACGTTATCTGAGGAATGTTCTAAAATACAGAAAAAGATGGAGAAAGAAGCGGAGATTGGGGTTTTTACGGGTGTTAAAATAATCAGAGGGTTTTATCAGTTTGGAGTAATAAAGTCAGTGAAGTCGCGAATTACCACTAAGATATTGTTCGAACCGTTAAGTAGTTATCTGTTAATCTGTTTAATTGTTTTATTTTTGGGTTGTTATCCTTCATAGCAACGTAGGACGAAAATTTTGAAATAACGAAGTTTTGAGAGCGAAGTGATTTTGTCAAGTTTGTTAGTATTTTGATCTCGGACATGTGATTTCTGGAGATGATAATTGAAAAACCCAGAAGTGGAATAACAATTCTTTATCGACTTTTTTTACCGTTTCGTAGATGATGAGTAAACAATAGATACGGTGTTCAACGATTACTTATCTCATAATCTCTTTTAATTGCTTTATTTTCGTACGAATTTTGTATTCGTCGTAGCAACTAAGCTTTACTTCGAAGATTTTATTCAAAGTTCTTCTTTGAAAATTTGTTTTATGAGTTTTGACGCCCCATAATTTTTTTTTTGTTCGTGATCGAGAAATTGAAAAATCAAGAAATTTGGAAACTGGGTTATTTGAAAAATTTTGAGATCGAAAAAATTCTATATCGAACAATCTAAAAATGAAACAAAAATAAAAAATTAATGGAAATAAAATTCGAGTCAATTTCAAGCTAGTGCACTCAATAGCCGTGACCTGTGTATGACGCTTCACTATTTTTTGTCGCACTAGTGCAACGGCTCTATTCAAACTCAAATTCCCATCATTCTATATACAAGAAAATCGACAATGCAAAATCCACAATACAAAAATAGACGCACAATTGTATCTGATTATAATTTATAACGTGACCGTTAGCCGATGCTATTATTCCGCCATCCTTGTCAGTCCATCGGATTTTCCTCATCAATCCTTGTCGATCTTGCTTGAAAAAAATTTGGCCGAACCTTACGTAAGAGCTTTCTTTCACCTAATTAACCCATCACGTGCTTTAGAAACAGAACGTTTCTCCATTCTATAATATAACGCATTGCGTTTCAATTTCATGTCAAGGATCCACGATCCGATTTTCTCCACCATCTCCAGTCTAATTCGTTTAAATCAATTAACTAACCTCGACAAAATTGTGACTCGGTAGATTTTTCCCGAGTTGATATTGTTTCAATTTTGGTCGTTTTTAAGGTTTCAGAAAGCCAAGGTAAAACTAGTGGTCCTTATTTTGAAAAAAAGTACAGATCTATCGGATAAATTAGAAAAGTGCACATGACCTTGTTATTCAGAGCATGTTTGCGAGTAATTCCGCGCATTTATTTTTGAAATAGAGTGTAGATAAATATTACCAAATTTATAGGCTTGTTTTCATCGGTGTTATTTTTTTAAACCCAGAAAAAACACTCTCACTGATTGAACCTGAAATTAATTCTATTTAGCCTATTTTAAAAATAAATGATCCACAGTGTCTAATTTGAATATTTTTTATTGTTCGTGAGTCAGCCTTGGTGCAAATTCGTGGTATGAATATTCAAAAAAAGCAGTAAATTTTGAATATTAATTAGTATCCCAATAAATATTTAGCACCTTTTTCATAGCTTTTTGATTTTTTCGCACCATTAGTCAACAATCGGGTGAATCCTGTATATATCTATGTATTAAAAAATAATAATAATATAAAGAAACTGTCGTATGACAAACAACTACTTAACCACTTGTCTGTTAATCTCCTCTAATTGGTTTATTTTTGTACACGAATTTTATTACCCTTCATAGTTAAAAGTTAGAACGCAAAACCAAGTCGCGTTTTCAGTTGGATTTTTCGCCACCTCGAAGGCAGTCGGAACCACAATTGACTCTCATAACCGTATCTGATTATAATTTATGTGTTGGCTTTTCGCCTCTACAATTCCTCAAGCCGCGATCTTTGGCAATTGATTCGCCGGTTTTCGCGGTGTCATCAATTCTTGTTGATTTTGCAAGCCGCCGCTCCAATAAAACACA